TTAATCACAATACTTTGAAAAACTGGTAAGCCCTTGACACACTTTAACGGTCCCATACTCCACCATATGAGTATAACCACAAAAAATTAGTAATTTTATATTAGTATTTTTTTTGGCAAAATGTGTCATTAGTTAACATGCAATAAAAAATAGTAGGCAAATGTTTGTATGTAGAAAATATGGTGTGTAAATGTAAATTTCCAATCATAAAATATAGTCAACATTAAATTTACTACCAAAGTCTTGTAATATACCAAATTTTATTTTAATGTTGTTGTACTCTTCTTAATTTTCGTTTCCATTTGCATTGCTTTGTCTTGGACTACCTCATTTTTCAAGAGATTGGAATTATATTTTAACATTTTATATTACCGTGATCATATTTCTATATTGTCTTAATTGTCCAAGACGTAGCATTTTTCAAATCTTTGACCACTAAAAATTATATTACATTTTCAATGATTTTGTTCATTTTAGCACGCCTGATATTTTTCCACTAAAAAAAAAAAAAATTAATGGAAGAGATCTGGGGTTCTATTTTTCAATGTACTCTCTATTTTTGAACCAATTTTAATTGAAAAGTAAATTGGTGGCATTTTGCAGATTATGGAATGGCTTTTATGTTTTAATGCATTTACATACATCTGAAGAATTTTTAATATTAATTAATAAATGACCTCACTATTATGGTCATCAGTGATCAACGGTCAATGTCTATCCTATCAACTTTTAAAAATCCATTTTCAGCATATAGTTGCAAATATGCTAACTTAAATAAAAGTAGTCAAAAAAGTGAAATTCTATTTTCAGCATATAATAAAAGATTATATTGTCAAAAAAGTGAAATTCCATTAGAGATAAGGCTTTACAATAGTGACTTTTTCACTTGGAAATTTTGAAATTAAGAGGGGTCAGAAACCAAGCGAATATATATTATTATTATATGAATGTGTGATTGAAAATGAGTATGTAGAATTTTTTTATTTTTTTAAAATAATGGTTCTCAAACAGGATCTTAATCTACAACTCAAAAGCATAGTTTATGTATCCCTAATTAAATATCATACATGCACATGACTAGAAAAATAAAAATATATCTACTCGATATAAGACACACTCCATAAATCAAATGATAATTCCATAAAATAAGTTGTACAGCTTTTTCAAGGTAAGAAGGGGTAGAAAAAATGTCTTGGGGGTAATGTTCGAGCATCAGACACTGTAGCATTCTCGTTGTAACTGATAAAATCGAGGAGGGGAAGGCTGTAATTAACGAAGAAATAAAGGAAGGAAATGACAGAAGAAAACAGGAGATAAACCTGCTGAAATTACAGCAGGGAAGAAGATGAAAATACATTCAACTTGCTTGAGGGAATTACAATGCAAACTAATCCATTTATGGAGAAAATAGCTAACAAATTATGTAACAAACTAACAAGATAACTAACATAAGAAGGAACTAGAATATGCTAGAAGAAGGAGCTGAATTCTGGTGAACTGGGTTGCTGCTGTTGAACGTGTGCTTTTGGTTTTGCTGAACTGGGCTGCTGATCTAGTGTTGGGCTGATGGTGTTGCTGTTGGGCTGATTTGGGCTGGAGAATATTCCAACATTCCCCCCTCAAAATGGAACATCTTGAACCATAGAGGAAGAGAGTGGAGATGCAATCAAGGAAGTTTTCTTTTCGAATCAGTTTTAGTTTTCTTCATCAGGTTCGTCTGCCTTGGATTTTCTTCAACACATGAGGATTGGTGCAGCAAAATTAAGCTGCGTTTTCTGTAATTCTAT